CTCTCACGTTTGGTGTCACATGTCCAAAAAACCCCATGTCATCTTATGCTGAACGAGAAAAATTTTTATCGTCGGTTACCTGCACGAAACCGGTTGCTACGGACAACTCATGATCAGCAAATCCACCAACCTCCTCAATCGTTCAATAAAAGAATCGTGTTATTCTGTGTCATGCAATGGACCAATCAGGAAACAATGTCACTTGTAACTTCACCATTGAAATCACAAGTGAGTTTTCTTCTCATTTCTTCTTGGCCACCGCTAGTCTAGTTAGAGGCGCGCTTGGAATTTGGGATAATTGACGCGTTTGGATAACTGATCATTTGCTGTCCAAAATCGAAAAATTGGCCCCTATGTAAAAAATTCGTGACTGCCGTCAAAATAAAAAAAAAAAAAAAAAATCAGACACCAGTTTCCAAAATAAAAAAACTGGCCGCAAGCGTCCAAAATCAGAAATCGGCCACTAGTGTCCAAAATCAGAAATCGGCCGCTTCATTACTTGCCTTGGAAGGTAAACCATTCGTCATGATCGCCAATCTCGTTCCTTCTAGGACATTGTTACCGCCTTGATTTTTAGCCTCATACACCAGCAAACTGCAATCGTCCAAAAATCTTTGGAACACCACATGATTTTCAAATAAAGACAAAATTATCATATTTCCACTACTCATTATTGTAAACATAACATTTCTTAGTAAGCGACTTTGTAAATTATCAACATCACGAGCAGGACAATTGCAGGATAGTGTGTTCATACCTAGTAAAAAAAATAGAGTGCTTCTCAATTTTGCGAGTTTGATGGCTCCTGGGAGACTTTAGCTCCGAGGTTTAAGGTTAGAGGTCTAGTTCAAGGCCCACGGCAGACTAACACTCAGGGTCTTGATAGAACTGAGGAGCATGCGCTACTTTTGCTATGATATCTGCAAAGGGTTAGACATTCTAGTCTTCCTATTAGACAAAGACAACTAGCAGAAGGCCCCGTCTGCTGCATCTTCTCTGTATTAAAGAGCAGCTGGAAATTTAAGTAGCTCATGCCTTTTCGCAAAGTGTAGGAAATGTAGCTTCCGATGTTGTGGTCTCGCCTTGTTATTGTTTAAAACAAGCCTCCATTTAAACCATTTATGTTCCTCTTGGGTTCATCCATAATTCGTGATCTATGATTTACGCTGCCCACAATTTCGGCCCATCGAATCTCTGCCCAAGACCTTCTTATCAGTTTAAATTCAAATAGCCTTTGCGTCGAAACACTAGCCATTAATTACCCATTCAAAGTGCTTTGAAAAATTTTTTCTTCTATTCACCAAAGTTTGCATAACAAATCATCGAAACACGAAACCTTAGTCAATCAGAAACTGACTCAAATGTTAATTTGTATTCTGCTTCATGAAAATTGCCTCATGGCACCGATGGCATGTACCTCATCAATGATGGCGAAGCTATTGTTGTAGGGATGACGGCTAATTTTGTGCCGGACATGTAGGTGGGATAAACATTTATCAAAATTTGAACTACCGACTATTCCCTCTTAAGAACTTATTCATCGTTAAGGGGGTATAAGAATTAAATATCACGTTTACTTTTTAACCTTAGACTTGACCGCATGAAATAGACAATTGTATTCTGCACAATACATCTATGGGTCCCCCCTAGAGTCACTTTGATAGTTTCATACGGCCAAGTAGTCTTGAGGTAAATCCGAGCGCTGTGATTGGTTTTTACTCGGTTCGGATTTTGCCATAGGACCGTTTTCGCGGAAACAGTCGTAAGCCGCGTGTTCCGACGTATTATGATGTAATCGCGTGCACCCACGCGCCGTTCAGTTGGTTACCACGAGGTTTTTTCGACTGGCTTTTCCTCCATGTATGTTTTGAACTTTTACCGTCGGTTTTCCTTAAATAAAGGATCAAATGTTTTCAAATTGCAATCTGCCTGAACACCCTGTGATTTTGTTCTCGAAAATCGGAAAATTTTGTTCAGACTGCCCTCTAATAAATCATTTATTATTAACCTCACTTGCTCAAACTGTCTTGAAGCATATTGGCCCTCATTGGGTTTGGATGGACCGAACGCTCTAGGGTCTGTACTGCCACGACCTATAAGTGTGATGTAGAGTTGCAAATTCATGATAAAACGTGCTTTATTCTTTGTGTGTGTTTTGCGTCCTTGCTCTATCCATTTTACTTTCCGAAACGAAAAGCCATTTTCAAGGCTGTGAGTTTTTCCTTTTTCACAAATGTTCACAATTGAAAATGAAAAAGGT